GATAATGTGATAATTAAAGGATTATCTGGATAAATCCAAATTAGTACTTGGGTACTCTAATGCTAGTTGGATGTTGTGTCGGTGCTTCGTGACCCGGAAACTTCCCGAGTACTCTCGAGGAGTAGACTAGTCAGGTAAAGTGTCGACGCTCTCTGACCCAGATTTAACCCAGAGATTAAAGAGACATTGATGTTATGTGACCCAGGTCTTCCTTAAAGTTTGTAGTAAGCAAAGAGAGGTGTGAGTTCCGCGAGACTAAGTGACCCTGAATTACACCATGATACTTAACAGTTGCTTTAGCGTTTGCAATTGTTCATGAGAATACATATAGCATGCTTATATGTTAAATGCATGTAGTATAGTAGGGTTATTTGCATGACACTGAATGCTTATATGTGAGCTCAGTGTATGAAATGTATTTTCGTGTGCAGGTCTTTAGGTACCAGTTGAGAAGTTCTTCGTTAGACTCGGATTTCCAAAGTAAACTTCCTTAGAGTATGTTTCAAGTATTTTAGTAGGCTTGTACTGTCATAAACCCTTATTTGTATTTGAGTCGTAAACTTTGTATTATTCTTTTTATCGTTGTATTTTGGAGACTGTTGTTGGGAGTTCCCCATATTGAAACACCTATGTTTTGTAAACATTTTATATTTAACGATATCTTTATGTCGATTTGGTCGAATAATTTTCAAGAAAAAAAAGGTTAGCCACTTATATAGTTCCGTGTGATATCATAATCCGTCAGCTTTCAGGTCAGACCATAAGATGTTACACAAATGATAATACATATAATAATCGTTCAACGTTATCATATTTATTCATATAAAATAATTTGATGCAAGTTTTTTAATTAATATATGATTTTAAATTAACTAATAATTCATATTTTATTTTTGAATTTATGATAATTACAATTTAATAATGGGCTTATCCAAATTAGAAAATAGATCAGTACATAAATATGTAAAAAATTATCAAGCAATTAACCCGTATATTGTACAGGCACACAAACTAGTATGGTTATATTACTAAAGCCAACTACATCTTTTATTAAGTTACTAATAAAATTAAAAATTCCAACTTGGCATCATAAGCATGATGTTTAACTAGTGAGTACATCTTTAACACAAAGTTATCACAACAAATAAGAAACAATACTAAACATGTATAAAAAACTGGAAAATTTAATCACGGATTAATTTTAAATTTCAAATATTTTTTTAAAAATGGCAATTAAGACCGAGAACAGAAACAACAATGAAATCGGTGCTTATAGCTCATAACATTAACAATGTGCCAAAGTGACGAGCATTCTCTAACCTCATTTCTCAACTATAAGCAAGAACATCTCTCAAACCATGTACAATCACAGAAACTAAGATAAGAAAAACAATATCTACATAAAAACTGATTGAGATGCTTAACATGTTAATCAGGGACTGGGTATAAACCTTGTTCAATCTTCTAGCTTTTCTGGCAAAATCTAAAAGGCGTTACACGCTCAACTAACCTCCTTTAGATCTCTTTATCAGCCAAAGGAGACTGCCTTCCTTCAGTTTTGCATCGCAAATGGCATCTGGAATGGAAGGGGAAAAAAGCTTGTTAAAGATGAATGCCATCAACTGTAGGTTAACTGTGGGTTTCGTGCGCAATTTAGAATAAGGCCCGAAATATAATATGAGAGAAGATGACTTCATACGAACATCGGCTCGCCCTGTATGAAATTTCATTTATATGCTGATATCTTGCATGTGGGTGTGACCTCATTGCTGCACCCTTCATATTTCTTCTTCTTCCTTTCTCTCATGTTTCTCATGGAAGCATAGTTTCCAAGCTTTCAAAGGACCTTTTGAATCATCTAGAACATCATTTCGATTTGAAGATGGTACGATTTGTGATCTTCATCTCCAAAACTCTAAGATGAGCTTCACATCTCCCATAGGAAGTGTAGCAAGCTTGGAGTTCTGTATGGCCTTTGTATTTTAGGTCAATGAGATTCTTCTAAGTTTCATCCATACCATTTAATATTGTGTTATTATTCTCTCTAATCAACCAAACACTCAAGTGAAATACATTAGTATCGATATTATTTATACAGTATCGGTACCGTATGAATTCAACCTTGAAAATCTGAGTTTTAAAAGGTTATCATCGTACTCAAGTATTTCTACACCTTGAGTATCCATATTCTATAATATTAAAAGATTAGAAATATCTCTTGTCAAACCGAAAAGCTTTGAACCAATGATTTAGATGTGCCTTGGAATGATTTTCCAAACTTATTTATAAGTTTCGGGATGTTAGTATCGATATTATTTATAAATATAGATACCGTATGAATTTAACCTTGAAAATCTGAGTTTTAAAGGGTTATTATCGATACTCAAGTATTTCTACACCTCGTTTAAGTATCCACGCTATCTAATTTAGCATCCATATTCTCTAATATTAAAAGATTAGAAATATCTCTTGTAACACCAAAATGCTTTATTAGAAATATCTCTTGTCACACCTAAAAGCTTTAAACCGATATAAAATGAAAGAATAAACTTAGTAAAGAGCCCTAATTCATGAAAGGACGAATAACTTCCTTTTGTTTCAAAGAGTAGGGAGTACACTCATGCTCCTAAATGCTTCTTATGTTTCTTAAATTTAATGTATTGTATGTGGGTATAATACATGTTGGGTGCCTAAAGTGTTAAAACATATTTTAATGATTTTGGTGATGATTTGACGTTAAAGGATATTAAAAAAAGAGTTACATGATGCCTTAGTAATCCCCTAAACCTTAGGAATTATATAGGACTTCAAACCAAGGGTTTAGAGGTACCTTGTAGTGATTCTCCTAACTTATTTCTGGGTTTTCCGGATATTAGTATCGATATTATTTATAGAATATCGATACAGTATGAATCTAATCTTGAAAATTTGAGTTTTGATGGGTTATTATCGATACTCAAGTATTTCTACACCTTGTGTGAGTATCCACACTTTAATTGAGTATCCATATTCTCTATTATTAAAAGATTAGAAATATCTCTCGTCATACCAAAAATCTTTGAACCGCTATAAAATGAAAGGATAAACTTAGTAAAGAGTTCTAATTCATAAAGGACAAAAGCGCCTATATTGGCTAATAACAGACTCGTCTCTAAAGATGTGCATGTTCTATACTATATTTTAAAATAAGATCCCTAAAATGATTTATAATAAGACAAAACTATAAAATACCAAAATTTATCATATTATGACTTTTAATAAAATGGCCGATTTCTTCATTGAGTTTTCTTCACGCGTGCGTACAATAGAAAAAATAGCTTTTTTTTTTGGGTTAGCAATTTTTTTTAAAAGTATAGGATCTCCAAATTTGGAGGCCCTATGACGTGTCATAAACTACATTTGTACATAGAAGGGCCTGTCTAATAGGTTATATCTTTAAGGGCCACAATATGAAAAATTGAGAAGAGTGGAAACCCAAAACAAATTAAAAGACGAGAAAATCCTTACAAGTCACGAAAATGACCCAAGGGCTTAATTGATTAAGGTAAATGTTTAAATGGATAAGAAAGGTAATTTATCTATAAGACTTATTAATGGTTCAGGTGAACCTATATGTGAGACTAGTGAAAATGTCTTCAAGATTAAATAATTAAAAATTCTCTGAAAGTAAAATAGCAATAGCGCCTTTTGTGAATAAGAGACTGGTAATTCCTCATATTATAAATAGATCTTTTATAATCTTATAAGAAAAAAATTATCAAAAGCTATTATAAAACTCTTATAAATGAGAATTATCGAAATGGCCTTAAGTATAATATTCCAAGTTAACAATAAACTCGTGAATAGAACATGATGTTGGCTTGTTCTCAAAGCGTAAGGCTTGAAATAATTCTTATAATGGGTAGTGCCTATCTAGGTTTTAAGAGGCTTTAGCATGTAATAAGACGAGGTTCATTGCTGATTTTGGATCCAAAAAAATGGGAGTGAATAGACGTGGACCATTTCGCTCAGAAAACTTTTGGACTGGGAGTTCGATCAATGGCACAGTTTAATTAACTCTTTGCAGGATTTCAGCTCTTCAGACTTGAGCAGAGATTGGGTGTGTTGGAAAGGCTCGTGGACGGTAAATACTCAGGTAAAATCTTTTGCGAGGACGCTTGGCTGCCTTGAGAGGGAAGGTCCCGATTGGGAGGGGTTGGTCTGGCGCGGGATGGTTTCTCCAAAGGTTGAGTGTTTCACTTGGCTTGAAATTCATAATTGGTTGCCGGTGAGGGTTGAACTAGCAAGGAGAGATATATCGTCAATTTCAGATTTATGATGCCTTGTGTTGTATGTTTCCTGAATCCGATCTCATGTTTTATTTAATTGTGGTGTCGCTTGGAAATTTTGGATAAAAATTGCTGCATATTGAGGGTTATGTTTGGTGTTTCCGGAGGTGCCTAGCTCTTTTATTCAATATTGGCATGATGCTTTGCCTTCCAATTCCCCCAAGTCTATTTGGCATCGTTCTCCTGTGGACTGTCTGGTTAGCTAGGAATGACTTGGCCTTTGATAAGTGTAAATTGGATGAAATTCAGATTTTAAAAGTCGGGCTTGCAAGCTGGTTCAAGGCTATGCATCCAGAATTGGTAATCTCCTTCGATGATCTATTAAATCAGCATGATATTCATCTAAACGAACATTGGTGAATGCTAATCCATCTTAGGGATAAGAATCGGATTTCAATGGCTAAAAGAAGCGCAAGATCGGTTGTTGTTCAGCCATGATTAACACATGGATGTATCAACAATGCATGCACAATTGACCAATCCATTGAAGTTAGGAATAACAAGAAGGTATTGAAGAACGATCTGCCGAGCTTTGAAGGAGGAAACCCAGTTGCTTTGGCAATTGAATTATTTTTAGTTGCCACGACAATCAACAGCTCAGGCTTTCCAAACAGTTATCACACCACTAATCACGATATCCCGACCTGCTCTCTTATTCAATCTCAGTCTATAGTTTTATTTACTTGCCCATTTATTTTATTTGTTTATTTACACTCATACTATTACCAATTTATTTCTTTTTATAGAGCAAAAAGTTAGAATACAGAGTTACACAAATCCCTGTGAAGACGATATCTTTCCTATACTATAATTTGTGACGTGTACACTTGCACCATTTGTGAAGCACTTAAATCACACAACAATTATTGTGGAGAGTGACAACAAAGTTGTGGCGGATTGGGTTCGCTGTCCTGGGACGAGCCCTCCGTTGTTTGCTACTCTGGTTCAGATCCTCCTGGGATATCACTATCCGACACATTTCTAGGGTGGCTAATATTGGTGCCGGTTCCCTTGCTAAAAGGGGTATTGGTTGACGTTCCCAGATTGTATATGGTTATGACTTATTTCTTAGTTTCCTGCTTGGCATAGGTTTGGATTTTGTAGGCAGGGATGCTACAGATACTGATTGCATCGATAGGGTTGTATTAACGAGGCCCCTTCTATCTATAAAAAAAAAATTACACATGAAATACATGTTGCCAAATTTTGTTAAGTTGCACTCTATTAGTGTTTTTTTTCCTTCAAGCCTACAACTATTTGTTAAAACAGTGTCTATATGTGCGACTCGTGTAACAGCAATTACTGTTGAAAGAAAAGATTCAACGCCATGCAACAGTCGGTAATTGTAGGTGTAATTTACTAATTTTGTCAAATATTCAGAGGTAAAAAACTTGAAAGGAAAACCTATTCTATGATAGAGACGGAAGCTACCTGCATTCTTTTTGTAAGAGTTATTAAGCAAACTAGCTCTGGGCACACTCAAACGGATGCAAGGATCCTTCAGTAAATTCATGCATACGTAACCGCTCCAAAAGTTCGAAGGGCCTGCAAGTAACATTTTACCAACCTTGCATATAATTCTAATAAGGAAATTTGATTCAAGAAGCTTGACTATAAGCAGAAGGTTCTTCAAACAACAATGAGCAAAACGAGTACAAACTTGGGAGTCCAAACCATATCTAGTCTGAAGTCAACTAATACAATTTCCATCTTCCTAAGACCTTTACTTCTGGGAACAACTTTTGATGGTAAGACAACTCAAGCCAGTATCTTATTGTAACGACATTTTCAAGAAATAAGGTTTAATGACAGGAGAAATTAGTAAGACAAGATAAAGATCTCTATGAAATTTTCATTTAGGCAGATGCTGCATGAGGTAGGAGATTCAAAACCATAACGAGCCTAGTTGTGTCCTTATGATAAGTATAAAAATATATTGTTGAAAATAATCAGATGGTAAACTTTCACACATAGAACTTTCATCTTATAAAAACGATATCAAAAAGCTCGTCAACTAGAAAAGTATCCTACTTAGTCTTAGTTGTCCCTTTTTTCCCATATGTATGGGGTAAGGGGGAGGTAAGATAGTAGGCTGCCCCCAACACCAGGTTGAGAGCAGCTTCCGTAGGAGACCTCCAAATTATGAAATGCCCTCCGTGGGACTTGATCCCACGACCTCAAGGTTAGGGACCGTTGAATATTTAGGATGAGATTTTCAGTACTTCGACATTGGAGTACGAAAAACAATTGAAGGGAAAACATACTAGAGCTCAAACTATAAAATTTGCATTTTCACCATGCAGAAGACAGGCTTGAATCAACTATCAGAATGATTAGCATATAAACAATTAGCATCAATCACCAGAATGATCAACCAGAACAAGACAGAGAAATGAGGGGAGGAAGGGGAACTAAAGATGGCACATCCACAAATTTTTTTTTTCATTTGATGCATGTTCCATTTTAAAAACATAATGATACTATTTATATTGCTTACAGGATAGCCTCACGATTGAGACACAATTTGCGTTGATTACTTTCCATGGCCTCTAACACATTAGAAGTTTCTGGCCCTGCTGACCCCCCAGCAACCATTGATGGAACAGCAGCAATTGGACTCCAAAGCTATCATTTTCAGCTAAAATTAGAGATTGATCTTGAATATCGCATATGATACTCTTTCCATAGTACTCGAAGCTCACCTTTATGGTGTTATCAATCCCACTGGTCACAACAGAGCAATCAAATGGATGGCACTGAACACAATTTACAACTGTGGAGAAAAGCAAAGATTTTACAGACAATACGAAACAAAAGGGTGAAAGCACTGTCCAAATCTCCAGGCAAGTTAGGAGTGGAGAGGAGAAATATTACCAGAACCGTCTCCAATAAGCACTTTTATCAATCTACCAGTTCGTTTCTCCCAAATAAACCACCTCCCATCGTCACTCCCACTAGCAACATATTCACCTACAAATCAATCAGAGGATGCTCATAGTTGTTTCACTGATAAAGTTGCATGTTCATAGTCATGATGTACAGTTTTTCTGCTCAGTAATTGATGACACATTTTTTACAAACAAAGGATTAACAAACACCACACTCAACAAGAAATTTGATGGAAAGAAAATCAGGTTTCCTGAGGCTATAGGATGCTTCATCCCGAAGCCCCTTTCCATTGGGCATCAGATATCGCACATACCAAAGTCAAGACCATACTTGACAGCAGCTATTATAATTCATAAAAGAAGCAATTGAGATGTTACTTGATCACAATTTATTTGTTACACATCAAATGTCCAAGAAGAAACGAATGTGTGGATTCAATAAAAGACTTGTGGAGCCCATTCATGTTCAATGATTCCTTTGAGAGGTGGATTGCACTAGAAATTTTATTGCAGAAAAAAATATTTCAGTTTAATAGTCATAAACTACCCAAAGAATTCCATAATTCTTTTCAATTGATATCATCAAAAGATAGAAAGTCACCATCACCTCATTTCCCGTCTCAAACAGCACTAGAACTCACTGTAGAAGTAAAATGATGATCCTCAGATAGCACAAACAAATATGACTAAGGGTTTTAGTTTAATGAAGTGTAACAAATAAAAGAAATATAAGAAGCAATATTTTCTTTTGAAGAATGAAATACTAATGAAAAGGCACAAATTCAACGCCACAAAGCCAACTGTAAAGAGCTTGTAAGAAAGAAGGGGGAAAAACAAAAGAATTACAATTGCAGATAAAAGTATAGATAAGATGATACGATAGTGTACCTCTCTGACCAAGGAAACTGGCTTGTTTGATGTCAGTTCCAACGTTGCAATGGCCAACAAATCTCTTCTTCATATCAGTAACTGCCTCAGGCTACAAATACACGACAAGGAAATCATAAGCTTGATCAATAAATCCATTGCAAGAAATATGATTATAAACCTTGGTCAACTGGAAGCAAACATGTAACAGTAACCAAATTATTTTTGCAAACTACCATCATTATAGGCCAGTCATCTTTGGACATTTATCAGATATTAACACATTAATTCACATCGTAAGTCAAAGCAATAGGAAAGTCAACTCTTCCAGGGAAACAACAAACAGAGTCTAGCAACATCACCAGTGACAGATACAACCATGTCCAGATAATTAATCTCGACCGCAGTCACTTTCAAGATAATTTTTTAATAATGAAATAACTAAATAGGAGAATCTTTTTATCAGAAGTTGAATTTGAAAAATTAGACAGAAGATGAGGATGTATACCTGATAAGCTGCTCTCCCATTTTGTGATGACAAGGATGGAGATCCAGAGGAACCGTTTGGACCAGTTTCCTTCGTTGAATCACCTCTTCGATGAATTCTAAGATTTAAACTTCCATGTATCATGTTGGACTCAACATCTCGTCCTTCATCACCTGATATTGAGGTTTCAAAATCTAATTCCAGCTCTTCATCATAATCAGAATCTTCTCTATCAGATCTTGGTCCATCTTGTGAAGCATCACTGTTAGCTTCTGAGCGATAGAGTATGTCACTTAAAGACAATCTCCTTCCAGTCCGAGGTTTAGACTTAGGTGCCACATCACTAGCCTTGTTATTTTTTCCAGCTTTAGCTTTTTAAAAATAATAATAGTAAATAAATAAAATAAATAGAAGTCAGACAAAACAAAAATGCATAGCAGCAGAAGTTAGCATATGCAACTACTACAGTGGTTCAGTGTGATCAACTTAAAAAACATGAAATATAAGCGTGCTACACGTACAATTGAATTTTGATCAGTCGCAGACCTAACAGAAAACAAAACTTAAGCAAAGAATGGAACAAAAGGGTTACGGAAAAAGGTCAAAGTGTTGATGGAAAAGAGGAAAATAAAATCAGTTCAGGACTTCCACTTATAAGAACATAACATCTAACGTTCAATGAACTTAACATATAAGAAAAGTTAAGACTCATGCTAATATAACTAAGAAAGAACAAGGGATATTTCAGTCAACACTTTAACCTAACATTGCTTTTCAGTAAAAGTAAGATGAATAACCCATGATAGAATTGCCAACACACGTAAATGTAGATAAGCTAGTTCAATAGGGATTAAGATGAGCATGTACAAGAAACAAACCAACTGCAAGATGTTTCTTTAGGTTCTCCACTTTCTCGGCCGCCGTAGCATTAGATGGAGATAAGCATTGTGCCGCCACAGCAACGTTTAAAGCTTCTTTATGTTTTCCCAACTGCACAATAGGAAAACCAAATGACAAAAAATAAAAACATAGTTTCAGTAACTTCACATGAAGAGACAACCATATCACAGTCATAAATGGTTGTCAGTTGATCTTTCAATAGCCCAAATTTTCCTTCTGAAAAAAATGAAAAGAATTGAAGGATCTCACAACATGATGTATCTTTGTTTACAACAGCACAGCTTAAATACCCATTGCCCGATATTGATTTAGAGCAAAATATGCACAAATGACTTACGATTTGGAATTCAAATTACAGTTGGATATTGTGCGAGTCAGAGCGCAAACCAAGCCATAGCCACTGGCTTTACTTTATTCACCTCTTAGGATATAAAATCGGTATTTCAATGACATTATCTAAATGTAAAATCAAACAATTGATGATATTTTGAATTTTCCCATGAAAGCGTTTGACAAACTTCAGATTTGTTTTCACCAGTAGATGCAAGGATTTTGGAAGGATAAAAACAATGCTTGTCAGGCAGAAACCCATCTTAGCATTAAGCTTAATTATCTAAAATGTTCTTAGCAACCCAAAGAAGTCAATTGTTCAGATACACCACCATGTTTAGAACTCCACTGCAACTGGTACTGCAAATTACCTGTTCTAAAGCCTCAGCCATGCAGTAATGAGCTCTAAAGGAAGAATTGTCTATACTTCGAGCTTCATGGCAATCCCTAATGGCCATATGGGCATCATTTTTCCACTTTCGCTGCAAAAGGCGACAGGTCAATATTAATTTTGCATCAAATAGATGAAATGCACCATCAAGTTTATCCCAAAAAAGTAAACAATAAACCTGCAACAACAAGGCAGCACGAGTACAAAAACATTCATGCCTCAGCGAGAGACCAATATCCCCACTATTTCCATCCAAGACTTCATTGCATGCCTCAATAGCATGGAAAATATTTGTCCACTCCTCTAAGGATCTTTTAGCAATGTCAACCAAGATCCTGCATTTTTTAACCTGTAACTGCCAAGTTAGGTTGCAGCTGAAATACATATGAAGGAACACAATAATTTACATGAAAAGTAACCAGTTACCATAATCCCCATACAACTAAAGCAAAATCATAGAAGATGCATACTCTTGCAGCATTGTTGCTTCTTCTCTGGAGTCCATTTTCAAAGGAACTAGAAACAAATGATTGGTTCTCTAGTCTATTTGGTACAGGAGTAAAGGTCATCAATTTTGAAGCATCTCCCGATGTATATTGCATTGGACTCCCACTATCTGCCAATTATGGAAGTAAGTAACAAATGCTCAGCAAAAGAAACGAGCTATATATTGCAGGTATCATATATATGCTGATGTGATGCATGCTTAACCTTTATAGTGAAATCTAAAATGCACTTGTTCATGAAAATGCAACCCAGAAGGATCTGAGAGGAAGGGAAATGAGAAAAACTAAGCCAAGTTGCATTTTCAGGTACATATAAACTTTCACATGTCATCTCTATGCAAGAAAACACCTAAAAAGAACAAAATAAGAACCCACCCTTTCCACTTCAATGAAGCCCCCACTAGGTTCACTTCTTTACACAAAACCAAAACTTAAACACAAGGGAATTCGAAACCATATATGATCAAGTCAGGAAAGGATGCTCCTTAAAGAAGATAAGCATAAAAAGGAACATCAATAAACTGAACCATTTGTCTACAGTAGAAGTAGAGAATTTTGAATATGCTTACCATGATTTATGTCCATTAGATATACATGCTCCCCACTATAGCTGAGCAGAACCTCTTCTCCCTTAGGGCTAAATGTTACGTGAGTTAAGTGCAAACTTGAAGGTCCCTGAAGAGCAAAGGGGAAAAAGAATATTGAATTCATATAACGATATTTTACTCAGAACCAGCAGTTAGATTAGCTTAACATATAATGACACATCAAACAGAAAAACAACATTAGTAATGCTAATACCAATTGAAAAGAATTAGCAGATTATAACTAAAAAAAATTCCAAGAAAAGTTTTTCCTTGAGCAAACTATTTAATAGTGACTTAATGAAGATAAAAACAAGATAAGTTCACTCATCAAAGAGAAAGAAAAAGAGAATTATTATCATTTGCAAAATGACCTCTTACATCATTCTAGATAAACTTTGTCCTTATAAGTAGAAATCCTAAAATTAGCCAAGGCATTTCTAAAAATAAACAAACAAGAGTAAGAACTAACAAATAAATTCAAAACTAACACAGTCAGAAAGATGCATTGGGCAGAAATAATTAACGCAAGTAGATGGTGGCATCCTTTTGCGGCAGGAGGACAGTGGGGGCAGCATCCTTCTATCATATAGACGAGCAAATGCATCACTGCAAACATTTTAAGGCAAGATTAATGGTTAAAATATAGTGTGTCTGTGTGTGTGAAAAGAACGATTAGACACGTACCTCCCACCAACGAGGAGCAAGTGAGGTCTAGTAGAACTGATATCACAAGATTTTAAGGCTAGAGTATGTTTAGGAGGATCAGCTAGTGACCTCTTTGCCCCACAACGCAAGTCAAGCTGCCAAAGAAATTTTAAAAAGGAAAGATTTAAAATGATTCACAGTTTGGGGGGGATATGGTTGAATATAAGACCACTACGATAAAAGTCCGTAAATTATCAGTTAAATTTGCCAATTCTACAATGCCAAGCAAGAGAATTCCCAGCGAAGACAAATTGTCAGATAGAACTCAAAATTGAGCTACTTCAATAACCGAATGACTTTGAGGTGATAATCCGTTGACTTAAGAATCAAGAGCTTTCTAAAATACTGGAAAAAGTAATGAGCAGTGTCATCTGGACCAGATCTACATGGTAATAACATATTTCAATTTAGGTCCAAAAGCATCCAGGATTCTGTAGGGTTAAACAATAGAAAAAGGCAAATTGAATGATTGTAGGTTTCCAATCCCACAAAAAACAAAAATAGATTTCCATCAACCAAGCATCCTGATTGCAAAGAGCAGAGAGAGGAACAAATAGTTATTCCACATCAAATGTAGAATTTACTGATAGGGAAATCAAAGTCGTATAACAACCATGGGAACATATTGAAATGAAGACAGGTAAAAACTCGCAAACCTTTAGAACATGCATTTCAGGGATACCGTGATAGTTGCAATCAAAATTCCATACTGACTAACAAACAAAGATCTCATAGACGAATATAGAAGATACAAATGAATGAAAGGTGTTATCATGTATGCAAGTCAGAACATGCATTTCAAGGATTTCATGGTAGTAGCAATCAAAATGCCCCACTGTCTAGTTAGTACTATACCTTCAACAAACAAAAATCTAATAGAGGAATCTAGAACATAGAAATTAATGAAAAGTAATAATGTGATGCAAGTCTCACAAGAACATTGCGACACTCTTGGTGAGAAGAACCTGCCGGAGGACAAGAAGTGCCCTCCCTAAAATCATGTTGTCTGAGAGTTCCATCTTCACTTGCACTCCAAACCACATTCGGGTTCCCAACTTCAACCTGAAATTGGAATAAATGAAAACCATGACAAAGTGAAGCAATCAAGGAACACTTATGTTCATCATGTAAAGCAACATTAATTTTGAATTTACCACTCCCCATGTTTTGGGTCCAACTAAATCATTACTATATTTTTCACACATTTGTGCAATAAACCTCACCGCTACTTTTTTAACTCTTCTTGTGTGACACTGATAGAGTGCTGATGGAGTAGCAGCACCATCATTGAGCTCTCTCCCATTCAAGCGAGATAAATTAAATAATCGAACCTGCAAACAATTAGCTGTTCAAGTTATTAATGATATTGATACCTAATAGGAGCACAACAAGACTCCAGCATAGAAACCTTGTTTAACAAATTCCAAAAAGTTACCTCCGCATCACCAGCACCAGAGGCCACAAGCTCATCAAAAGCTTCAGGAATGAATTTTGTACAGAATATGTTAGCAGAATGTCCTGTCTCTATAGAATGCAAAAGTTTCCGACTAGAGTAACCCCAAATATGAATCTGAAAAATGTAATTAAGTAAGAAATTTTATAAATTTGCATTAAACCAATACCCCTCAAAAAACTGTTCTTCACACACTTTATCAACGCGTGAGCCAACAAGTTCAGCCTATTAGAGACCCCTGAACCAACACTTAATATCCTCTTTCTTGTAATCAAATCCATATTTCAATTTCATACTACAATGAATTAAAATCACTCCCATCATTACCGTGTAGCCACAATAAGTTAAGGCTGACCATTCCTTGGGCAAAACGTAAGTTTTTATATTCTAAAATATTGAATTTGGACACCTGTCAGATGATATATATATTTTTTTGGCCAGATGATGATATATAAAATATTTATACATATCAGTACACACGAATAGCACTAGATACTACAACACTTAATTAAGATTTCACAAACATATTGAAACCAACTCCATATAAATAGTAAAACCAAAATAACAAGATCATAGTGATGTTATAATGACCAGGAATAGGTTGGCTCAAATTTTCAATTTTATTCATTTTCAAGTTGACTATTACAATGCAAAGAAGTTTATACTCAGTAGGAAAAAAAAAGATGGATCGTACCTGTGCATCATCAGAACCAGAAATCAAAAGTGAACCATTTGAGTTCCAAGCTACAGTATTTACACAACCCTGATGTCCCTGGTATACAATGAACAGAGGAGGATTTTAGAAGAAAAAATATAAGTAAAGCAAGAGGTCACCAATCACCATGTTCAAGCCTTCCAAGGAATATACCACAACTAGAAGTACTAAAACAAAATAGAAATGTAAAACTGTTACATGGAACTGTAGTAAATGTAGCAAAGTAACTAAACCAATACATAACATGCAATGTAATCTAGGAAGCCACCAAATGCAGACCTGCAAACAACAAACTATGCTGAAATGTCATTACAACATTAGTCTGTGATCCATCATGAGATAAAAGTGCATTTTTAAAAAAAATAAAAAATTGCATGCATCAAAGAGGATAAAGAGGGGGGGGGGGGGAAGATCGTTATCACTATAAGAGGTTTTGCGTTATAATTATGAAAGCTTTCCAAATGATAATTACCTCCAATTCTTGTTCCAATGCAAGCCTCCGAATCAGAGAGGAATGCGTCTGCAAACTATGATCAACATCCTGCAACACATAAAATTTTCTTATTAGGTAAAGCACTCGTATTATTGTCTCAACTGAACAAATTTCCTTTTCAGCAACATATATATGTAATTAAAAACAAGACATTAAGAAAGCCGGCAATATTCAGGTGAAGAACAAACAACAAGGTTCAGCACTTCAATTCTTAGTCAAAATTTCCATAATAAGCACATATACATATTATATTCAGTAATTCACAAGCATTTGCTCAAATTCTCAATCACATAAAATAAATACAAAAAAGAAAAAAAAAATTAAATCAGCAATTCCTCAAGAAATGTAGACCGCAACAACAAATTGTACGAAAAATCAAATAAAATGAGAATTAAAATGAAAAGGTTTGAAGATAGAAACAAAAGGAGAGAGCGATGAAATACGCGGCAGTTCTGGCGGATGTCGATGGGCCTGCCGTCGAGTAGATTATATATGCTGCCGTCGTGGAAAGGCCACTCCTCCATCGAGTATTACTTCAAAAAAAAACTAGAACTCGAAAGAAAATCCACAAAATCTAGCTCCGATCGGAAGAGACAACGGTAACCGGCGATTATCAAAGCGGCTGTTAAAAAGACAGCTAGGCTACCAGTACAAGCACAGGTTTCGTAGGTTAGCGACGCCAAAGCAAAATAAATTAAAAAAGTTTCTACGCTAAATGCCTTTTTCTCAGACACGAAGACAAAAGTGATGAAATGCTTTTTGCGTAGTGTGCGTTTCCCAAAATTTCTACACTTCTCTAGAGCTATAAGTACAAATAAATAAATAATAAAAATAGGGTAAACTACACCGATGGTCTCCAACTATATGATATTATTTTATTAAGTATTTTAATTATTAAAAGTTATAAAATGATCCTCTTACTATAGAATGTTACTTTGTTAAGTCATTAGACTATTAAAAGTTACAAAATGGTCATCAGACTATTCATTATGTTTCAAACTCATCCTTTTTATTTAAAAAATTGGCGATTGCCTAAGCTGGATGTTAACATGATATCTGAGATATTATAGTCATTTGAGATTATGAGATCACATTTTATCATATCGCAGTTAATACGTTAACGTTTAACTTAGAATATCGTCAACTTTTTAAAAGAAAATGATGAATTTAGACATAATGAATAATAGGGTGACCATTTTGTAACATTTAATAGTCTAGGGATTCAACAAAGCAACACTCTATAGTCAGAGGATCATTATGTAACTTTTAATAATTAAGGGACTTAATAAAGTAGTATCATATAATCGAGGGACCATTTGTGTACTTTAACCAATAAAATTATAATGATTATTATGTGATAATAAATTTTAGGGTAAATTACGTAAATAGTCAATAATATTTGAGTAAGTGTCTCTTTTTGCTTACTAATGTTTCAAAGGTATTGATTTTGTCACTGCATTATTAATTTATAATAAATCAGCCAGTACTCATTAGCCGTTGTTATTGAGATAACAGATATTGATGTGACATATTAAACCGACTGACCTGGTACTCTTTGATCATATAAGACAATAATATCATCACTTACAACAAGTAACTCTAATTTACCCATTTCAAAATCAAAAAACTCTTTTACAACTTTGTGAGAGAATTTCTAAGAAAAATATATCCTTGCTTACAACAAGTAGTATTGAGAATAAGTTCTTTGAAAAATGATTCACTATATAGCAACCATAGTCCAAATATTTTCTTCCCTTATACAAAAGATATGGACGATGATTTAAAAGAAGAAAAACGTGAACATGTTGAAGAACAATAATGGACTGAGGGGATAGATGGTGGCAACCATCCCTTGAAAATTTAAAATTATTATATATTTTATATTTTACTCTATGTATTTTCTATTGAAAATATGTTTTTCTCCCCTTGAAATTTTATAAGTTTGTCATTTTCTAAAATTTTACAAGTTCATCTCTTAACAAAAAATCATGTGTTCGTCCTTGTAGTGAAGAAGATTAGGCTCTTATGAAAGAAATAATAGAAATAAAACACTATATGTGTGTATAACCAAAATTGCATAGAATCTATGTTTTGTTACCCCTAGACCTGGACTGGACATTACAACCGAATCTCAAAGACCACAATAATTTGAATTAACATAAATAATGAAATTTTATGAGTTTATTGATGAATTCCACATCCCAAATCAATTTCAGAGCATATTACATACGACTGCAGAATATCGATGTAAATTCCTAACCAAAACTGAGAGTTCACAATACAACAACACAAACTAAGTTTGAAGTCCAAACCAAGTAAAAATATAATATCCCAAAGCCCAATATATAAATATAGAGAGAGAGAGAGAATGAAAAATAAAAATAAAAATATAGTTCAAAAATGTCTATATGATATATAGGGAAAAGTATTATTAGTCAATCATCCAAGTATCAGTCAGAACCCTAAAGGTCTAAGGAATCTGAAAAGAAAGTAACTAAAAAGTGAGATATATGGCTCAGTGTGTCCTATAAGTGCAATAGATACTGATAACAAATCATAAATAATTCAAACACAATATAAAATGCAATTAAAAACTCAATCAACTGTAAATCAATTGTTCATTACCAGAATATTATAACAGAAAATACACAGAACCTGACCTTTCTGTAACACACTTTACCCGTACCCGACCCGGATACGAGTCTGATGTATCAATTTGACCAGTCAAAGCATATACTTTAATAAAAACCATAGAAAATTTAAAACTTCTATTCTATAAAGTAGTTCCTTTACATAAATATGTTTAAAACCTTAACAAACTCCATCAGAGCGTACATATTTAATGACTTAGTTACATGCCAACATACTAAATTATATGACAAGACATACTTTACAAAATATTTCTGATCTGAACTTTGCGCGGAGATATGCTGCTTTACGGATCCGAAGCTTGATCTTCTAGCTTAACCACACCTACGAGTAAGACACTCACACGCTAAGTCATAGACTTAGTGAGACATGTAAATGCATAAAGTAAACTAACAAATGCATGGACATCTTATGTAATACACATTATACTTATATACCTATTGAACCCATCACTTATATGTTTATCCTTACTTATTTCATGTCATTAATTAAAATTCATCATATGAGCATATATTGAACATAAACATATAATATAACTTCAAAACACAATAATACATGAATAATTACTATGATTATATCATACATAACCATATACATCTCATATCACCATTACACATATGCACTTGTTACTCTTATTATCATATGATCCTAACTTATTACTAATACATATCACGTATCACATGTACCATTTGACGAGAAACACACGTATCATTATATCAAATTATGTTTTCTTTTCAAAGACCATGCACACTATTGAGAACTTAAGGTATGTGAGTACATAGAGGTTGTGCACAATGATGTTACCACAGCTCGTATAAATCCCACTAGGGGCGCGTAGAAATTTGTCCTGTATGACCACTATGTCACGAAGGACCACTGTGTCCCGAAGGACCACTATGTCCCGAAGGACCACTGTGTCCCGAAGGACCACTATGTCCCGAAGAACCACTATGACCCGAAGGACCACTGATAATCCCTCGACTCTTGGCATGCCAACTATACCTATAGCTCTCATAACACATGACATGGGCATTACCTTTATATCTTTTCACATATTCACGTAGGCACATAGTTCACTTTCACATAGAATATTTCCATGTAATTACATTCACTTATAACATTTAACCTAGCTTATTACACTAATATGTATTCACAACACTTACTTAACATACATAGCATATCATGTAACATTCTAGTATAACACATATAAAGATGCATTTAATCAATTAAACATATGCATTTACTCATATACAATACATTTAGTACCATATCGCTACATGTTTATGCTTCAGTACTCCTAATGAAATAATACGAAATTAGACTTGTCGCAAGTCTTAATTCCCTATACATAACGTACATTTAATATCATGTACTCACTTGGTTTCTGATAACACTACCAAGCTCTTGCTCCTTCTTGCGTATCTTACTCTGACCACCTATTCGAACTTTGCTTCCGATCGATGTCTTTAACAAAGGAAGCGAACATGAAGAAGGAAGAAGAAGAAATAAGCTTTCTAGAAAACTCTCCCCATCCCCCCGTGTTATCTTCCTAAATAAGGGAGATAAAAATATCCTCCAAGCCAAATTACCAATATAACCTTATAATCCTTTCATATTCACCCTTTATCTAATATTAAAATATTCTTATTAAAATCCTTAAACCTTTTAATTTTTCCTAAATTGATCCCCAAATTTAAAAAATTCTCATTTTAGTCACTAACCCGGATTTCGAGATGTTACAAATCTCCCCCTCTTTTAAAGAAAATTCATCCTCGAATTTTCACTTTACCCCAAATAAGACAATCCTTGATAATACTCAACAATTCTTATATTACCCTTACTAATAACCTTATACTCATATACAGTTCTCATTCGATACTCATATATATATATATATATATATATATATATATATATATCTTTCTTACTCTTTCTATAAGCAACCTTCATATAACTTAGTTACTTGGAAACCATATACTATTAATTCTTACCAATTCATTATTTCTTGCTTCTAATCAAATCTTCCAATTACCTTTCTAAGTACCACTTACTGAATACTATGATGATTCCCAAATCTATTAAAACCAAACTATTTTACCACGATATCGAAATTTACCTGCCAAAATCTCTGGGTCATCGAAATCTTCATCAGTCCTTAAATTATAACCTTCGGCAGGTGGTTGCATATCATATTGAGTGAATGACTCCGATCGATTTCTTCTACGACCTCTACCTCTATTTCATTTTGATACCGCAGTAGATCTTTCTCTATGTATCGTCTCTTCAGTCATAAATTGACAATCTTGAATAAAATGTCCAACATCCCTACATCTAAAACAAGCTCCTGAGATCACTCAACAAACTCCTGTATGATTCTTTCCACAATATGAGCATTGCCTGACTTGACTGAAATTTGATATTCTATCAGGAAAAACATCTGATTCCAACATCTTCGGAGTTGGAGAATCTCCTTTTCTATTTTTCTTTAATAGAGAGGAACTTGACGAAGCACCCATTCTTTTGGACTTCTAAACTTTCTGTGCTTTAAATCTTTCATTCTGAGCTCTCTCTAGAGCTTTAGCTCGATTAACCACTTCTTGAAACGATGACAAATTCAAGGCTATCAACAACTCTCTTAGCCTAGGGCGCAAACCCTCCACAAACTAGTCATACACATCTTTCTCAGTCGGAATAAACTCAGCAACAAAACGACTTAACTTATTAAACTCACATTTGTATTCATACACTGTATAATTCCCTTGCTTCAAATTTAGAAATTCTTGCTTCATCTGTCTAATATATTGGTCACCAATATACTTACGATTGAATTCTTCCAAGAAGAATAACCAAGTCACTTGATCTCTTCTTAATCTCATAGTGACATATGTCCACCATATTCTAGCTTGTCCCCTTAACAAAGAAACTATTTCATCTAATTTCTCTACGTCAGAATAGTGAAGTCCATCCAACATAATCTTGACATCATTCAAACAAAGATCCGCAGTAACCGGATCTTCCTCATCTTCACCCTTAAACTCAGGTGCTCCTAAACCTTTCAATTCTTTAGCTATATTCATTCGAGGAGCTGAGGCTGTAGAGGGTTAAAAATACGACAAAACAACATTTAACGTCCCAAAA